CGTTACTGCCCCTCCTGCTGGGTTGGTGGGCCCCCAACTGCCCCCTCCCCCCCCGCTGCTGGCCTGGTCGCTCCACGCATCCTGCTGTTCAGTCATTTGGTCGTCCCTCACTAACCCCCCTGCCAGCCTGGTTGCCCCACGAAACCTGCTGTATGGTTGTTACTGTTACTATGATGGTGTCCCAGACAATTTGCATATTCCTCTATTATTAGCATAGATTCTTTCTCAGCTGTCTTTACTGACTCCTATCCCTTAATGTTCATGCTTCCTGAGGTTTCAGGCTGACTTTTTTTCTTCATTCTGCCATGCTTTCTTGAACACATGTTTTTCATGATTTCCTTTCTGTGTTCATTTCCTCAGCCCATCTTTCTGGTGAGCACTTCTAGTCCTTAGGTTTGCTACTTAGAATGCCCATCTGATTGTCTAGTAGAAAATCTGTGCTTAGCCAGTGTTGCTCAGTGGTTGAGCATCGACCTATGAACCAAGAGGTCACTATTCAATTCCCAGTCAGGGCACATGCCTGGGTTGCAGGCTTGGTCCCCAGTAGGGGGTATGCAAGAAGCAGCTGATAAATGATTGTCATCATTGATGTTTCTATCTCTCTTTCCCTCTCCCTTCCTCTCTGAAATCAATTAAAATATATATAAAGAAAACCCTTCCTCTCTGAAATCAATTAAATTATGTATAAAGAAAACTTGAAACTTAGAACATCAAAAATTAAGTACATGGTTTTTTCCATTCATCTAATTTTTCCATTTTGATTATTGATGCTGCCAGTCACTCAGTTACCTAAATTATAAACCCAGGAATCATCTTGACTTCTGTCTCCTATTCCTCATTTTCCATTAGCTGTCAAGTCCTGCTGATGGAGCTATTTCCTCTCCATTCCCTTCACTATTTCTTACGAGCCAGGTTCTAATATCCTGAGCAGAGCATTGTAAAAAGCCCCTTCTGCTTGGTCCTGGACATTGCAAACAAGTTTGACATGCTTGTATGTTGGTTATATTATGTAGGAATGCCAAAGGCAAAATAGTTTTGGGTGCCACACCACTAATCCCTGTTTATCCATTAAAGGTCAATTTCCTAAACATTTTTATTAGGTGACATTGTTAGTAAATATTTTATGCTTTTTATAAGAAATTTGCTTAAGGATTAAGAGTATGATTTATAAGGATTAGAGGGGAAAAGCAAGAAAAGATGTATAGAAATAGAAGTCTGGCTGGGTTAAGTGCCAGAAATGATCTAATAGGACATTTTCTTAATGAGCTAGAAAAAAAGATTAAAAGTTTGAAAGTAATACTTGGTGCTTGGTAGTCAAATATCAGTTAGGAGCAGTTAACTATAGGAAGATCTTGAGACTGAATAGGCAGAAATGAGGTCTTTGCTATTGGGAATTGTAAACTAATCTATTTGAGTAGTACTCTGAAGAGATGCTATTTAGCTGTCAGTTAATACCCAGGAGAGACTCCTGATATCATTATTTATGTTCCTGGAAGATATTGGCCTAATGTACTAATGCTACAGATGTGGTAACATAATCACTGTGCCTCTCTACATCATCTAATGCAGTGGTTCTCAACCTTCTGGCCCTTTAAATACAGTTCTTCATGTTGTGACCCAACCATAAAATTATTTTCATTGCTACTTCATAACTGTAATGTTGCTACTCTTATGAATCGTAATGTAAATATCTGATATGCAGGATGGACTTAGGTGACCCCTGTGAAAGGGTCGTTCGACCGCCAAAGGGGTCGCGACCCACAGGTTGAGAACCGCTGGTCTAATGTGTTTCATAACCACAAGTTGTTTAGTATAGAATCATTATTTTCTGAAACCAGATATAACCATAGAAATGCTCTTAGTTTCTTGAATTTTTTGTTTGTTTTCAAGCAGATTTTTAGAATTTGTCTTGCTTATAACATTTTAAAAAGTCCAAATTCATAGAAGAAAGTACTTTAAAATTTGAGTCCTTTATATTCTAAATGATTTAGCACATGTTTAAAAAGAATTGAATTTTATGTATTGTGAATATTTTGCACAAGTATTATATGTATTTACATTAGCTTTTGCTGTAGTATTGGTCTTTACTTACTTTCTGATGATTTTAGGATTTATGAGGGTGGCACTAGATTCTCAACTAGTGTAACTTACTGTAGGAAATCTATTTGAACATTCTGTATAGTAGTATTTTGAAGTTGAGAGTGGGGTGTGTGTATCATTTTGGCTTATATTGTTCTGCCTAGGAGCTCCACTCTGAAGGAGGTGAGACAGAAAGAAAAAGTTTCAGAGATTTACCAAGATGGCCCAAGGTGGGTGAGTGGCATTTTGAGCCAAGGGAGTAGTGTGTTCCCTGGTAAGAAGTCCTGAAAGATCATGGTGTGATACAGATCCTTGGGTGGTTTGGTGTGAATGGAAGGCAGAGTTGGATAGTGGTGGGAGAGAGCAGCTGCCAAGTTTCCTTTAAAGC